GACCCTTGTTTGTTGACGTGAACTTATTTATACGAACTTCATGTTTTTTTTTCGAACTCTCCACCTCTATATTTGATGTTTTTTCCCTAAAATGTACACAATCCTGGTGTTCTTCATAAGGAAATTATTGTATATACACGTGTTTTTCAATCATACCTTGGAAATAATGGTGTGCTGGTCTGAAACGACTGTTCCATTTTCTTTGGCGTAACAGAAACCTCCGACATACTCTTCAAACAGCTTTTGTCTTCAGCCACTAAAAATCTGATGTTGATTTTTAATAACATTAACCAAATAAACAAAAAATTTGTTTACCTTCGAAAACGAGGATCGTATTTCGATTTGTCCTTTTCCAGAATTTTTTTCTTATTTACTAGCTGCTTCTGTGTATTTGTTTGCCCCGTAGTAGCATTATAAGAAGTAACTAATTTTTTTAAACCGCAATTTATTAATCTGTAAGAAGAACAATTCTTACCACACCGACCACTTTAAATATGTTTTCTTACTCTTTCTCCAGTCTCACGCCATCACTTTTCAAATTTGAATTATTGGTCGAACTACTATCCTTCTGGTACGTGGTGTATGTTCTAAAAATTAAAAGAATTTACAATTTGTAAATATACTGATTAAAAAATACTGTTTAAATTGTTTCATACCCAGTGTGACTCCTACTATTTATACTGTTTTCAGGACATTTCCTCAAATCTACGTAGTCCTCATTTACTAAAAGTTTCATGTTTTATTAAAATATAATAAAGTTTATTGTTGGCACTTACATATTATTTTTGGATTGACCATGTCTTTTATAAAAATTAATAATAAATACACATGCGCTTAGTTAAAAAAAAACTACATATTATTTATGAAATAATTCAAAACAGAAAACTGATGAAAAATGTCAAAAACTTTTTGAAAAATACAGTCTAGATTGCCATAAGAAGGGAAAGATAGGTTCAGAAATCCAGAACATACATGTACAGGGTGAGTAAAAAATGATGGGTAATCTCTTGGATTTGGTTCTTGAAGATTCTTGAGATCTTGAAAAGTGATCACAGGTTTATATAGTAAATGCTAAAGTGTGCTTTGTACAACTCAAATGAGCAGATCATTTTAACTACAAGGATAGATAAAGTAATACATAGTAATAAAAATGACAAAGTACATAATTTAATTTTTTATTTTTATTTATTCATATAGAATTTATTTCTAATTTGCATTTTCATTTGAATTAATATGAACTTTAATCGTACAATTAACATTTCTAGAAATTGCTACCCTTGAAAAGAACATATTTCATGTCGCAAATGTATAGATATAGAATTGCAAGTATTTTCTATTCCACCACTGAATATTTTCTTCTATACTTCAACCTTTCTTGATACCGAGTCTTTTATATTGACTTCTGAAGATGACATCCATCCACTTACACGCTTGACTGCTATTAGGTCAGCACCAGAATTTGCCAGTATTGAGCCATCAGAGCGTGGGTTACAATGGCTGGTAGGTATTTTTCTAAATTCGATATTTTAAAAAATCGTCAATTTTGTTAGGAATATTATACAAATTATTTATTAATTCCTACAGATTGGATGGTATTTTTATGTTAAAAGATGATAAAGAACTTCCGGAGAGGCACGTTTCAATAAGTGAGACGATTATGGTCGATTTTCGGCCAACATTAGAAGTTTCTAACTTCCATGATTCATTGAACACCCTAAACAAACCCATTATTGCAACAACCAATGATGTAAATTTATTTCAGAAAATATTAGAATTTCACCTTAAGAAACAGATAAATCATCTTTTAAAAACCTCACATCAACTGGTTGTAACACTTTGAAATGTCGTAATATTCATTCATAGTACAATTTTTTTTGTCCTAGAGCAGGGGGTCGGCAAGTAATTTTAGGTGGAGTCCGGATACTTTTTAAAATTTTTAACGAGGTCCAGAAAAAAAATATTCCTTACTAATTTTTTATTATAATTTTTACGCAGAAAATAATATGAAATACAATAGATAGGCATATTTGTATTCAATAATCAATGGAAGGAATTACTTTTGCGGTCTTGAGCCAGTTTTTTTTTTATTAACCTACTAACCATTAAAAATGATAAGGGTAGCACTCAAACGTTTTGTTATCTACAGAAAACAAAATTTTTAAATAATTTGAGTAATTATTTTTTATTATATACATATTTTCAAAAAATTTTTGGCGGTCCAGTTTTTATCTTCCGCGGTCCGGATCTGGACCGTGGTCCGCCAGTTGCCGACCGCTATCCTAGAGTGTAGTTATAATTGTAGTAGAGCGTTGCATATAAATTTTTCATCGTAACTTTAATTTTTCATCGGAATATTTTTTGTTTCTCATTAAATTTTGATAATTTTCAGGAAAAAATGATGTTCTTTGAAGTTATTTCAACTAATGTAGCTAGCATGTATTTTTCTTAAAACATATAAATAGTAGTATTTTTGTTTATTTAAAAAAAACATTTTTAATTCTACACTTTATTATACAGTGCTTTGATATCTACATATTTATATAGAAAATATTTTACATATGTACTTACTTAATAAAAATATATATTTATCTAAGGAATGTATACATAGGCTTGAAATTTAAATTTAGTCTAGATGTCTATCATTATTCCTGTTCTTTCTACACCGGACGGTAAAACTTGCCACATCCGCGCTAGCACCCGTCCAGAGTAAAAACAACAAATACAGTGAGATCGTCGACATATAAGGAACATAAAATTTAAATATTTAATATATATAGTATTGTCTAAACATTATATTTGAACAGATTTTGGAATGAAAAAATGAGAAGTACACAGTACATATGCGAGTCTATTTTACAATATTAGGCGGGTAAATTTGCCGTTGCTTTTTCCAAATTAACTAATATTAGCCCTACGTTTTGTGCATTGCTCGAATATGATTATACTTTTCACTATTTCTTTCCGTAATTCTACGGGTACAGTTCTTTCAACGAATACATGTTAAGCAGTGTCTAAGAACGTACGGAACCGTTCAAATTAAACGACGGGTTGTCAAAGCCGGATGCGTTTGTGTTGCAGTTGCAGCTACGAGGGGCAAACTTAAGCAATTCTCCTAAGCTTACCCCGCTAACAAACTACAATGCTTGTTTGTATTGTCATTTAGTCTGAACGATAAAGTACGTCTTTGGGTTGGAAATAACAAAAACAATTTGAATTACTCGTTATTGCACATAGGTACTCATAAATCATAGATATGGAGGTAGAATACAAAAAGTGAGAAACGATATTACAGAGAGTACGGTAATTTTATCGTCAAAGGATGCTGTATAGATCGTCGCACATATGGGTACTTATACTTAATGAAATCCTACCCATATTGGAATTGTACATGTTACTGGATCTAATAATTAACGATTTTTCCATTATCCAGGCATAGAGGCAGTACAGTATTAAAGGGTTCCACAAATTGCCGCGATACGAGGCATGCCCTTGCATTGTTGCAATAACAGGAATGCTCTTTGTATTGTGCCGATTTGTGGAAACCTTAATTTTAGAAGAGACAATGTACACAAATAACATCAAGTCTTATTTTTGATTTTATCACATTTCTAGTATACACCAAATGAGTTGTAATTTAAAATTTTTTAATAATTATACAATTCTGTTTTACAAAATTTGTTTATCAAATAAAATTCTATTCTAAAATAAACTTTAAAATGTCTTAAATCTGTTGGCATAGAATTTATGAATTTATAACACTTCAAAAAAATTTAATATCGCATTACCGGGACAACCTAAAATGTGTTTGTTTATTGGAACACTCTGTATATTTTTACATATGCGGTGGGCCTAACGCAACCGAAATAGATCCAAAAGAGTGTTGCCCACAAACGAATAATAATCCTTTCCAAATACATTCATATTATGGCCATATTTCCTTGCCTATTGACACAAATCCATAAAACCTTGTACCAGAGTGGCCATAAAGACACACCACATGTAGGATTGTACCCTCACACCGCAGTGCTAAGCAAATGTAACCATTGAAGTACGCGAGTGTGGCCATGACGGCATACCTCGCAGCAGACCTTGAATCCAAGACTGCTCCAGTGATATCGAGCTTAGTATTTTTCCGAACCTAGCACAGTGGACGATGGATGAATAAAAGCTAATAAGCAATAAAAAAGAGGTGATTGTATTTTATCAAATATTAGTAAATTTGTTTTGATGATGAAAATGAGGAAAAAATCATGTTTAAGGAGTTTTTTTGTCGAGATTTTAAGAAAATCTAAACAAGTTAGAAACAATAGCTCTTCACTGTTCTGGTTATACGAGTTTTCTCTAGGCTGTAAGATAGTTTACACGTTCAGAATAAGAAAAAAATTACCTTTTAGGTTTACCGTTGTTTCCTGAATTTTACACGCTGGATGAATATACAAAAAATTACTTATGGCACTATAAACTTAATCACACCATGCAAAATGCATTTAAGAACCTGTTAACACAATTAACCACAATTATTTTAAGTACTTTCTACAAAATTCTCGACAAAATAAGACCAAGTGCATTTTCCGATGTTTATGTGCGTGGTCAATATTTTCTATGATCTCTCACCACAAAAAATTAAAGGAATCCTTTCATTTCAACATTTCTGTAGTTTAGTTACTGTGAAAAGCAATTATGATTTTCTTGTTTTATTACTGTCTTACTAAAAGTGTGATTTCTAGATTATAAAATGTCGGCCCTAACATGATAATGGTTCAGTAATAAAAAATACAATATCTGAGAATTCTACATGCGGTGTGCCATTGATGCGATACTCCGATATGGCTAAGATAGAGCACTCTAGCCAAAAGTGTATAAACGTACAGGGTCTTCCATTAAAAAAACCCTTGTTAGTTCTATGCACAATTATTTTCGAACCTTCGATTTTTCAAAATTTTGGAAAAAGGGCGAAACATATGGTGCACCACCCTGAACAATTTTCAAAACTGATTTTCTTTTCGGGCCGATTGTCCCAGATTTTTCAATATTCTATATACAATATACATAAACAGAGCATGATAAATAACGACAAAAAAAATTGTTCTTCAGTTTTTAAGGTCTTTATTATTAATAAATAAAATGCCGAAAATAAAGAGCTCGATACAAAAGATTATGAGGGTGATTGTATTTTCTGCTGATGCAACAAATTAGTTTTATATCTTTTAAAGACGTATAGAAAATATTTGTTATAAAAAACAGTGTTTAGTGCGCAATGGCGCTAACAAAATAAAATACTAATAAATAAAGGTCTAATTCTCCTAGTAATACAAATAAAATCACAATTCGACAAATATTAAAATGATCACATATCATTCAAGCACCACGGTTGGTCTTAGAGTATATTAAATTCAGAGTGATTCACCTGAAACTTCCCGGCCGGATAACTGATAATGAAAAGAGATTCTATCAACTGGCTTTTACAAAACCACAAAATGTCTTTCCATGATTAAATTGTCACTTCGACGAGTTTTCAGTGAATCACCCTGTATACGAATTACCACACTTTTGCCACGTCGTGCTCTCCATTGATGCCTATTAGGGCCTCGGTTTGTTCCGAAGGCATTTCGCTGAACCTAAAACTGCAAGTCCGTTTTAATTATTTACAGCGGCATGCACGAATAAACTGTCCATACCGAATGAATCTGGTCCGACGACAAATGCTGAGATAGGCACAACGTAGTATATTAAAAACTGGGTCCCAGTTCTCATAGTGGGAGAGGATGGTCACAGCCATGAAGGCGATCAGCATTGGTACCGTCCCCGTGTAAAACAGCACGGGATAGGAGACTTTTTTCAACAGAACGTCGGCCAGCATCGTCATGGGTATCGTCAGGCTCATGGCTATCGTGGCCATGAGGGAGGACGTTAAGAAACAACCCCTATAAGAGACATAATGAAAATAATATAATATTTAAGTGAGAATGCAATATTTTATTTAACTACCATTACGTTTTAAATTTTTGAATAGAGTTGTTTCCACTTTTTTCAAAATTTGCATAAAATATTAATATGTAAGAAGTGGTAAAACACATTTCATTTTCAATTAATGCATTGGCATATGTATTAAAACGTGTTTTTCTGGAAACTGTAGAGATATACACATTTGTAAAGGTATTAAGCTAATTCAAACAAATTCTTTAATGAACTAGTTGTATAGTAGTATACCTTTAAAATAGAGTAAAAATATGACAGCTATAACATACATAATAGATTCTATAATTTTTATCTATTTAACAGGCTTTTACAAACTCACTACAGGAATCTTGGAAACGGTAAGAAGCAAATGTTGAAAATGAAGATAAGCATAATATGATTGAAATTTATTATACATGTAACCGCAACTGCGAAAGATGTATTTGTATGAATATCCTGAAAAAAATTACATTGAAATTTGTTTGAATTTTGAGAAATCTAGAAATAACTATGGGCATTCTAATAATGTTTTATTGTAACATGTGATGGTAGTAATATAAATAAATAAGTGGATTTTATAGGGTCTAACGACACTTAGAGTGTACGATAATTCAATAAACATAAAAATCTAAAAAAAAAATTTGATAAATTTGGAACGAATATATTGAAGATGAATTTTTCAAGACAAAATATCTGAATCTGGTTCAGGCTGAGCCAATACAGTATTGGGGGTCATGAAGGCTTGCAAAAAATGGAATAACATTTCCAGGGTCGTATTTAAGAAAATTAAGTTGATGATGGTCCTGGAGACAAAATGTTACATATTAAAATTGATTATGACATTCAATAGAGGGCAAAAAGTTGCAACGAGAAAGAGTTATTCTTTTTTCAATATCACCTCAAACAAGGCTGAAATGAAACAAAAACGGAATTCCAAAATTTAGTTTTTTTTTTCAAATATTACGCTACTTCGTATCTCTTACCATTTCCGAGATCCTTGTAGTGAGAAGCGAATTTGTAACAGCCTGTTATCAGGGTGTTTGTAAATATGTGCGAAATATTTTAGGGGGTGGTTGCTGAAGCTATTTTGTTAAAAAAGGTTCATATACATTTTAATTTTTTATTTATTTTTATTAATTACTTGAGTTTTAAAGATATTGACTCGAAATTTAAAAACCACTTTGAAGGAATAAATATGCAGTTTTTGGGGTAATTTGAATATTTCTACTAGCACCAGTGGCGTTCATGCAAGAATGCCACAACTTTTTTTAATAAAAAAAATTGTACACCACTAACTTTTCCTGTTTTGATATTTTTTTAGAAATCCGTTATCAATTCTGAATGAATTTGGCCCCTTCAATATTTTTTGTAAGATGCACCGTTTTTGAGGAAAAAATAAAACATATTTTATTGTAGGTTTTGTTAATATTTTATTTAAAAGTGCAAGTAGAAATATTCAGATCACCCCAAAAAATCTCATTTATCCCTCCAAAGCAATTTTCAAATTTCGATCAATATCTTTAAAACTTTTTGAAATAATTGATAAAAATAAATAAAAAATTAAAATTTAAACATTGTATCTCGGAAACAAAGCATATTTCGACATACGTTTATATAAACTTTTTTTCATAAAATAACTTCGGCAACCACCCCCTAAAATATTTCGCACTTATTTACAAACGCCCTGTATAAATCTAGATTTTTATCTTCGTGAAATTCCAATGGAACATAATAAAAAAGTAACCGTTATTTATCCTTATTTTGTTAATTATTATTTATATTTATACAGCGTATTCTATTTTTCTCTTTAAACATTTAGTCTATAAAATTCAACTTGAACAATCTGTGTTTGGGAAACCCAGCATTTCACAATGCACCTTTAGTAAAAATTTTTTCTTATTTTAAGTAAAATTTGGCTTTTGTAGTGTGAGACTCCCTGAGTAACATTTTATAGAATGAGTTAGCTGTCGTTGAAACAGGGTGATAAGACTTATTTAAAAAAAATACTATTTTTTATTTTATACCAAACAATGGAAATTTGCTAATAAACTTTGCTGCATTTGCAAAATAAAAAAATTAACAAACGAGACTCATAAAAATCAAGGATATTTTTATTTGAATACCTCTTGGTTTGGAAAATAGATTTTTTTTAGACTATCATGCTATATCTCGGAAGGAGCATTTGGAAAATGTTTATATGAAAAACTGGCACTATAAAGATGAGAATAATTGTGCCTAAACATTCTCTTCGAAAACACAAAAAACTTATTTTCATTAGTTATTTAAAAAATATGTAAAATATATCGCATTTCTTATAACAATTATATCATGTAGAATAAAAATCCAGGTCCTTCACATTTATACTCATTTATTCTTGTTTGTGCTTAATCAATATCCCCAAAAAATAAATTCTAGGGCATTTTACAATGCTTACTACGATGTTGAATCTCTAAATCACCCTGTATTAAAAGTTCGCTCATGTCACCTTATTCCAATATATTTACTTTTGACATATATTTCCTAAGAATACTGCTTTATCAATTATCGTTTCACAGAGTATTAACTAATCGTTATCAACTATATAAGTTAAAGGCAATAAAAACTTTATTACCGACTATCTTTGACACTAAGAAATAATCTCTCATTTCGCTACGAAAACATTGAAATTCATGAATTTTTATCTCTACTAGTTGTTGAGCACAAATCACAAATATAGTCTTATCATCTACTTACCATAACCAGAGTGCCTCGGAAAGCACCGTTCCCAATAGACCGTTGAGCAGTAAAAGCATCATCTGCTCTTTCGTGGGCCATTCGAATACCTCCAGCTTGCTAAAATGAAGAAAGAAGAACAGAGGCCACAATAGAACTAAATTAAAAAGGCCGACAAACCCTAAAAAAAAAAAAATAACACCAATACTTATACGTCAATGTTAGTCAATAATATATATTTACCGAAAAATAGTGGAATGTTTATTTTATCCTCGTGATCAACTTTCCGTCTTAGAAATACAAGATAAGTGGCGTAAAAAAAGGCGCTAAACAACGATAGCACCGCCCCTAACGGAACTTGTGATTCTAACGACAAATCAGAAAAGCTCACCAATACCTAGAAACGGGTCAATGAATGTTAGGATACAAATTTGGAGAGTATACCACTTACGATGCCTGTAATACTTAAAAATACAGCAGCAAGCTTCGATAACGTAAATCTATCGGCTTGCGTTGAAGGGAATGCAGAGGCTAATATCAGCGTGAATAGGCTAGAGGTGGAAGATAATACGTTTACCATACCGGCTTCCGTTTCAGACAATGCCACCTGGTATGTGTAATTCGCAATAAACCACTGAAAAAAAATAAATAAATAAAATAAGTCAATCCAAAAATTGGGTATTGAGTAAAAGGTAGAACATTGTTGTGATATCTAGTTCTAAAAGTTACGAAGTTATGTGAATCCCAAATGATTACGTATTAGGTCATTGGCGTAGAAGTTGGGGTAAAAATATCCCACTTTACCCACTCCTACGCCACTGACCTGTAAAATCTTGTTTAGAACTTACCCATTTACAACAAAACGGTGAGTTTCTTGAAAACAGTTCAATTTATACATTTATAGGGTAGGAAATATAATCAGAAATTTATGATGAATTCAAAAATGCAACTAATAAGATTTTCATTAAAAAAAAAATATTCGCAATTATTTTGAAGCAATCACTGCCAATTGCACTAATTGCAAAGCAAATCATTGTAATGTATGTATAGGGTGGTCACCACCTCACATATGTATAGCTTATTCTTCTTGCATATTTGTTTGTCGTGATAAGGCACATTTCACATTATCTAAAGATATTTATTTGTGGCATAGTTTTAGTTTTTTCTAATTTTTTTTTTACAGGTGACCAAATACCTAAACAAACAGAAAAAAACATAATTGACGACAGAAACTTAGTCATTTTGATGTCTACAGATAGTGGATTAATTTAAATGAAATAAGGGTTCTGTGATAATTAAATGTTTATTAGTGAATAGTGCTATTAGAACTTCATTAAACAAAATCTCTATCATCACATTTACTATATACAAATTTTTTCCTTTCAAAAAAACAACAGACGCTCCTGCCTAAGGATAAACTCAGTTCTCTCAAAGATCATCCAATTCATGAGCATTTTTAGATAGACTATATATTTTTAACTTATTAAAAAAAGGGTACTTACCAGCAAGCAAAATATAAGGGCGATATTAGCAACTCTGAAAATGGGCAGTCGACTAGCGGCCCTCTTCGCTATCTCCCCAGCCCTCAGACTTGCCTGGTACGACAGCCTGGCTAAAAGGGCCTCCGTAGCATCGGTTTCCGACATATGTCTTACCTCTGCCAGTTTATTGAATCTTACTGAGCGTACTGAAGAGTCGTCGCTTTCAGTGCCTGAGCTTCTGTCTAAATTTTCTCTCTCCGGTGTTTTGACTGGCACATATATCGGGTTGCTAAGGCTGCTGTTGGCTTCTGTGTAATAATTGTCATCTTCCTGATCCGGGTCTATGTAGACATAATTGGTGGGTCGTGAACAAGTCTCCTTCCATGGAGGCCAGAATAGAAATCCCAGAAGGTAAAGTGTGAACATGGAGGTTTTTATATAAGTACAGAAAAATGGCTTTTCAAAGGTTTCATTGCTGTATATGAACTGGAAGTGTAAACAGATACAGTATATAATGTTACAAAAACAGTACAACTGAGGAAAGGTTCTATTTACCTTTGTAAGTTCTGATGAAGACACCCAAATGACATCCACCAAAATCAACACCAAAGAACCCAGAACCAGTCTCTGACTTTTTGTTAGCATAGATCCAATGCTAGCATCCATAACAATAAACAATGCTAGCCACTCGCGACTCCTTCATTAGTAAACATACTAAATACGATAATAAAATCAATTATTTAAACCTGGAGGCGTTCATATCTTTAAAGATAAAAAAAATTGGTTATTGGTTAACCGAGTTACGCACATGCACATTGGAACCGTTAGAAATAATATAAAAAGCAGCTAAACGACAGTATACGGTGCGTTATAAAATTTCCGGTAACATTGTCACGTTATCATTAAACTGTTTCCTTTTTCGCCTCAGCTAATCGGATTGTCACTGTCAGATTTGACAACTGAAACTTCATTGAACAAACACCGGTCCCGTAACTAGGCAACCAAGTTTACAACACAGCATTCATTATGTCTAGTCTTTGTAGAGGAAGATGATTGCGAACGGCCAACACAAAAATTCAAATTTAGAAAAAAGTAGGGGGCTTGTCTTTGTATTGTTCTTAAAACTACTTTTAATTTTTTGCTTTCAGCTGAAGAAATGAAGGCAAGCGAATCGATTCCAGAGCCTGCTCCTTTTGAGAAGTTTAACTGGCTGATTCATTTGCAACATGTGAGGGGTGAAACGGAAGCGTGCAAACAACTAATAAAAAAGGAATTGGAACGGTGTCATGGGAAAAACGAATTTGCGTTGTATAAGGAGGTGATTATATTTCCCATATAAAAAATGTAATTCTTACTTGCCTTATTATTCAAGGGGATAATACTAAGGGAAGAAGGAAAATTGCAAGAAGCTCTAGAGTCCTTTCAGAAGTGTTTGAAATTAAATCCCGATAATCCTGACAATTTCAAAGAGATGGGAAAATGCTTGTAAGTGTTATTATTCGCTATAGTTGTTATATTTTTATTTGTTTGCTGTACAGGGTGATCGATATATGTCGGGAAATACTTTGTTCAAGATTTCGAATGGTTCTTGTTATGATAAAGGTTTTTATCAATTTTGTTTCCAATTGTATTTTGCTACTTCAGATATGAGATGCGGAGGTTTCGCTTATCTTTAGAGGCGTTAATGGAGGCAGAGAAGGTCTCTAAATGCCCTGACTGGAAAATATATTACCACCTGGGTAAGTAAAATACGATTTTATGCCATACACGGCTGTACCTACTAACGAATTTTACGTAAAATTAATAAATAAAAAGGTTCATTTTCGAGGCATAGGGTGTTAAAAGCCAAGAAAGAAAATATTTTTTTGAAATTATTGCAAGAGAATTTGTTCAAATTTAGCATATAACGTTAATTTTTGATTAAATACAAACGCATATACATACAGTGACGTACTTCTGGGGTGGAGTTATAAAATATGTTTACATTGCTCTTTGCTAGATTGTCTCATTTTCGAGATAAATAGCAAAATGTTACACCATTTTTTTACAGGGCAGTGCCTAATGAAGCTCGGTGAGGTCGGAAAGGCCAAAGAGTACGCTCAAAAGGCCGTAAAATTGGGCAAACACGAAATATGTTACGCTCTTCTCATCAAGATTCTTGTCGCGGAAGGTGATATAAGATCTGCTGTTGCTGTGTCTAATTCTGCTGTAGAGTAAGTAGACATTTGCGATTTATTTTAATTCCAAATCAATAAGTGAAATTTTGTGTACAGTACAAATAAATATGTTGTAATAAACAAGTAGTAAATCTACTTATAAGGGTGATTCGGAACTTATCCAAAAGAAATTTTTGAATGTACTCTTACTCTTAAAAAATCAAAAGGGCCATTCGAAAATGATTTAAAAATACATTTCTGTACGGCACTGGTAACTGATCCACTGTAAAACCTAACCTTGCGCAAGGCGGAACAAGGAAAAAAATAACATTTTATATAGTGTTTACGAAGATAGTTGAAACCGTATAAAAACTAAAAGTCGGCATCTCTTTGTGCCCGGGTAGTCCGACGAGAGATGCCGACTTTTAGTTTTTATACGGTTTCAACTATGTTCGTAAACACTATAACACCTATTTTATATCAGCAAATTCAACTCTGCATTTGCCGCTATTGTTATTATTGATTAATAAAATTAATTTGTGGTTTTAATTAATAAAATAACTTTACATACCATGGTGTTACCTACCAACTGTTTAAAATTTTTGCCATCGACGTGTTTACTCATTTGGGCCCGTTTTACCCAGTTTCTACGAACTAACACAAATGTTGTCTTGTTTCACCATAAATTAAAACGATATCTATCAGCTCCGAGTTGCTATACACGTAAGCCATTTTGGACATTTGAAAAACTAATGTAAACACTATCGCAAAAACGTTTAATACTAAAATCGGATTTCAGTATTCGAAATCGCCATCTATTCCCAATTTTTTTTTTATTTATTTACAAAGAATTACGAAGGTCCAATGTCCAGTCAATCAAGCTTTCTCGATTAAAATCCATCGGGAAATCTGTTGATAAGTGGCACGTTCGCATTGTAAATTGCCATTGAATTATTTAAGCCATGCCTTAGACTTTAGGGACTTGGATGTACTGTTAGCTGTATAGATTTGTTAATTACATCAGTCTCAGTGCCAATATTATTAAAATTTGAAAATATTTATAGGTATAAGTACTTATCAGTTTTCAGTTCCAGTGTATGCTAAAGCTTGAATGTGCAGCAATTTTTTAATTCTGATTTGGAACACCTTGTCTATTCAAATAAAGTAAATACAACTTAACTTAAGACGTCAAAGAGTTTACTTTCTATAAAATGATATACAGGGTGTTCTGAAAGTCCGTCAGGAATCTCCGAGAAATGATTCTACGGGTTAAAATAATGGCAGAGTATGATATGAAAATTTGTTTCGAATTGTTAATTGTTTGCAAGTTACAGCTTGTCAATGTTCAATTTTTCTTACTTTTCTATTTAAATAACTTTTTCATTTCAATTTGACCAGTCAGAGAAAAGTTTCATTAGGCGCCGCTAGAGGGCACTTTACCTAGAACTCAAAATTTGTTTTGTTCATAACTTTTTTCTCTTGCTAGACATCACAGAAATGTAAACATGTAAAACAGCCGATAAATGTAACCGTTTACCAGGAAATCGCTATTAATGTGTTATTAAATACCAAATTTTTGATAATTCTTTTTGCAATTAATCAAGTTGCCTGCTTCCAATAAATGTCATTAGTAATTTTGGTGTTACGAACTGTAACAAAAATTGTTCAAAGCAGGTACTTATGAATTTTTTTCCTACTTCAAAGAAAGTTATAAATGTCTAATAACTTGACATAACTCAGAAGACTCAGAAAATGAAACGTCTCCAGTTTCTAGATTAAATTGACTGAGGAACTAGAGCAAGTTTTAGAGTTAAAAATTAATCATCTTGCACTGGAACTAGGTACAGTTCCAATACAAAGTAAGGAATAAAATCATTTAAACTTACATCTTAAACTCGAGGAAATGCTTGGATACACTGATTTTTATTTATATTTAAAAACCAGCCTATTAAAGTACGTAGCATTTCAGTATCCCAACCAGTGGTGGAGTTAAGGGTTATGTAAAAAAATTAAATATCATTAGATCTGTTTATGAAGTACCAATTTGTTAAAATCGATTTAGTAAAAGTTAAGAAATTCAATAAAAGCTGTTGTACCTATCTAGGAATTTTTAGAATTTACTTAATCAACAAAATCGATGAACGTCAAAATAAAAATTAATATAATTCAAAACTAAATACATTAAATCTACGCCACTTCAGATCAGTTAACCGTATAGAAAAGTCTGGACTCCATTGTTGGGTAAACTTATTCGAAGATATGGTGTATTTATATTTTGTAAAAAAATGCTTAGATAATTTTTATCTATTTCTCTACGGTTTATATTTCAACGTATTCTGCAAGATATAAATAAGAACACCTACAGAAACGTATATCAAAATATGGCGATGTAACTTGCTTTGCACTGATTTAATTTCAAATGAAAAGTACCCAGAAAAAGAATATTATCGGCAAGGATGTGTGTGTGTTTTTCACAAATGGAAAAAAGAACACGGGCGAAGATGCGAAAATCTTTTGATGTTTCTATCAATATTTCAAACGAATCTCTACTTGGATGTGGCAATCACAAAGTATAATACAATAATACAATTTATGTTGTATATAAGAATTTTGAACAAATATATTGGAAAAAACAAAAAGATGGGAGACGTACGAAATCAATGTTTCTTAAATTTCAGGGTTTTTCTGAAATAAGCACATTCCTTCAAAGAGGCAATAGAACAAATTATTTTAAGAAAAAAGTTTGATATGAACATAAAGTTTATTTTCGAGACGTTGAAATTAAAAAAATATCGCGTTTTCTAAAACATCTCTAAGGATATTCGACATAGACTGACCAAACTTGGGTTAGTGGGAATAAAAATCCGCTAAGTTGACTTACAAATACCAGTGGCGGAGATATCTAGGGTCAGTGCCATTTGGAACTTTTGACGCCAATAAGTATTCTGCATATTCGATTAGTTCTTTTTATGATCAATAGATTTCTACTTAGTCTTCATCAGTCTACATCAAACAAACTCGAATATATTTCAGAAAATATGATACATATTTTTTTAATTTCAACACCATTGTACCTCGAAAATGAATCAAATTATAATGCGATCCGCGATCATCTGAAGCTTTTTGCTTAAAATAATTTGTTTTATTACGCACTTATTTCAGAAACACAGTGCAGAGTGTATATCTCTTACCGCAATATATAAAGTTTAAAATTCTTTAGTAATTAATGGATATACATAAGAAGAACGTTTATTACGTAGATTGATATTTTTCTTCTTTAATTTTAAGTTGGGTGGGCCGCCACTAATACAGAGTTTGTGTGGATCGATATCGAATGATAGAAACAGTTGCCAATAGATGGCGCTGAACGACATCTCGCCGGTACACAGTTACTAAGATCTGACTTCGGTCAGTCGCTGAGAATGTTTCGGTATCGCTTCTCGGCCTCTGGCTAAGATCAAAGTGTAGTATCTGTTCTTATCAGCTTAATATCTGATACGCCCCGCATGCGGGGCCAGTATATTAAACTGATTTTTGGAAATTGACGGGGGTTAGGGGCTTGCTCCACCCCCGTCGCGGGTTGGCCCGGTATTGCAGTACCGCCGGGAACGGCCCACTTTTTACTTAATTAAACAAAATATTCCGTACATACTGTAGAATTGACCAAAAAACATTTTATTAGTGTTTATGTTCAATTTCGTGATCCGATTCTTATTTTCGACTTATCGCCATCGTCACCGATGGATCTGAATTCTGAATCGTCTTTCGGAACCGGTTCACGTAAACGAGACGGTCTCAGTCCAGTCCACTGAATCTGCTTTCTGACTTCTGCTTAATTCTCAATTGAGGCATGAGGCGTAATTGAAAGACCAAACAAAAACTGATGAATGTTGAATGATGATAATAGATAAATCGTGTCATTTTGTTTTTCGAGCCTTTGTATCTCGGATAGTGCAGGGTCATGTGTTCATGTGACAATGGCAAAATTTTGCCACCTGTGAAGTGTGAATAAATTTAAAAAAAGTACAAAAAAGGATCCAGTCAACGGTTATTTAAGTTATTTTTATGGAATAAAACAAAAAACACCACTTCATATTGAATTGTTTAAATTTCGAGTAGATTTTCGAAACATATTTATTTACAGAAGGGGCACAATCGAAAACTCTGATCTGAATAAATTACTGATATAATTCGATAATGTCATAACTGTCATATATCGATAATGGTTCTCGACTTCTGCTGTACTGCCATAACCGTTTATAAATTAGAAATTCACTGCAGAAATATACTTTGTTTGCAGTAAATTTAATCTTTAATTCTGAGAATGCACCTTGAAACTGACTGCAGATTTTATATTCCTTTTAATTATTCCTCTACTTGTGAGCTTGTGTTTCAAGTCCAAGTGGCAAAATTAAAAAAAAAAAAAAATTAACGGTGTCTCGCGACTTGGATTAAAAATTAAAGGGAATTTACATTCCAGATCCTGTCCGGATAGCGTCCAAATGCTGACGGAATCGGGACTGTTATACCTGAAGGTGGGACAAAGCCAGCATGCGTTCGAGAGATTAAGTTCTGCCTTGGCTCTGGAACCGACCTACACCAGGGCGCTGTTAGGTGTGGGATGCATCACACAGGTGGGTGGCTTTGTTACTTTGTTACATACTTTGTTAATCTTAAGGCTTGTTTACACGGGGACAGTAGGTAAGTGGTAACTAAATTTTAAGTTGCTGCTTTTTCTGCAAGTGCTGTTCGCACTGGTAAGTTCTATGTTTAGTTGTGTTGTTGGTAAGTTCTAGTGCAGTTTATATATTTGCAAACCTGACGAGATGAACGTGAGGCAGCAGTTTGTAGAAGAATTTAATGGCATACTACGCCTCCTAAATATTATATTAGAAGAAATAAATGAAGAAATATATGAAGAGAAAAATAGACCTAAACGACTTTGGGAGCGAAAGTGGATCAGCAGGAGGGAAAAGTTCGGTGCAAGTCGTCAACTTGCACGAAAAAATAGAATAAATTCTATTCCAGTGTACTAAATTTTTACTTGCTCCATAACTTGTTACTTACCATATATGCGTTGTTCAAGTAGGTTCAAGTGACTTAAAATTTAGTTGACTGTTCCCGTGTAAACAAGCCATTTTTTAGATTGTACAGCCTCGACGTTTTTGCTAATGCTGCTGTACAAAACAATAAAAAGAAGCAATATGTATTTACATACTAAAAAATATGTATTTTCATATTAAAAACCCAGAGAATTAAAATAGATATAAAATGTGTGTCGACCCCTAGCTAAAGTACATATTGTAGATATACAGGGTGCTTCTGAAACAAGTGCGTTTCTTGAAACAGGTGGTAGAGGGCACGAAAATAAGCAACTTTTATTAAGCAACTGATGGTTTGAAATTAAAAGTTTTTCGCATGAAGGTATAAACAAATTTAAAGCCGTCCCTGGTGCGGCAGCCAGCTGTATCTTTGATATCGAAGTTGTCGCGCGTCGCAGTGTGAAAGCGCTGATGGTGGTTTTGACGGTTTAAATTTTGTGTACGAAAATGCTGAAAGTAAAAAGTAACACAAAAATTAAACGCATAAACGAATTACTTTGTTCAAAGTTGTTTCCATGCAAGATTGTGACGATTTAAATCAATTTGATTTAAATTGCGATTTAAATCATGATTTAAAGTTGTGTAAAGCCAATAATCTAAGTAAATCAAACTTCAGAAAATTCAAATAAAAATTACAGTTTATTTAAAAGCTAGATACATATTAAACTGAAAAAATTCAAATAAAAGGAAGAAAAGGATACACATATAAAACAAAACATTATAAATTAGGTGCCTACTTAGCTGAAACATAAAGTAAACAAATTAAACGGAACCAACTCTAAAAGAAAATAAAACATGATTTACTACAAAACAAAAATTTTAAATTAGGTTAATTATTGTAGTTTGTACAAAAAAACTAATTTAGCTGCTTTTTCGCTTCCTAAACGATTTCGAATCTTAGAAGTCAAACCTTCCTTCCACTTCTATTAGAGGACATGTTAAAAAATTATTTAATATTTTAATACTATAAATACAGGGTGATTCACAAATTGTGACCAAAAATGAAACCGCCTCTTCTTTGGTAAATTTTAAGGGTCTTTCATATAAAGTTTTGCTTTGTTAAAAAGATACAGGGTGTTAAACTTCAAACAATATTTTAAATTTTTTTAATTAATTTAAAAACTAGTAAGTGAAATTATTTGAAATTGTGCACATGTATTTCTGTAACCATTGTCCAAAATCTGAGGGCTTTTCCTACAATTTACATGCTCCAGTGGCGGAGATACGGGGTATCGGTGGCATATTTTTCTAAATAAAATAGTACGTCACTGCTTTACGGTAACAACCATGATATTTCCGGATTCGTCTGTCAATTTTCTAGAAATTACTACTCTTTTATGTTTCTTGAAAAAAGCCTGATTTTCGAGTAAAGTTACAAAACTAACTGAAAATACTTTTACTTAAATAAATAATATTTGCCGCGTTTGGTTCATCTCGGAGGCAGATACTGATTATCCAAATCCAAATTTTGATAATAGGCGTTATAGTCTTTCAAAGTCAGTTGAGCATGTATAAAAACGCCTAGCAATAAAATAATTGAATGAGTTTCATAGGCGTCCCTAAAAAAGTATTTTGCTAATGGTAAAAAATAATAATAATTTGTATATAATGTGTAGAAAATTTCTATTATACGGCCAACAACATATTTTTTCTTTATATAAATTATAAATTGTTCGCCGAATTACGTCTCTCGTCATGTCATCGATATTTTTAAATTCATTTTCTTCCTTTTTTAACCAATCGTAAACATTTAAATTGAGACGCTGACACTGAATCCCATCAAATTCCGCATTGCTGCACTGCACTGCTAGACAATTTGTCAATAACTGAAGTTTACGGCCCAGTCGCCCAGTGCGGCTGTGTTTGTACGCCGTTTGCCCGCACACGCATTCTTCAACTGGGCGTATACATTTCTACCACCTCCACGTTTAGTTCGATCAGACCTGTATAAGAGTATGGCTAAATAAACATGGGAATTACTTTTTCAAATATTTCGATGCCGAGTTGCTGTGTAGCGACCGAACTTGATACATACTGCCTAGCTCTTTGGCCTTCAATTGAGATCTGAACGACTATAACAATGAAGTTTAGTTAGAATACTAACCATCCGTTTTTCGTAATCTTTCAGAAACACGAGGAATACGACGTGGCCTTGTCCAAGTACAAGATCGCCATCCACCACGACCCCGATTCCGTGGGTCTCTGGAACAACATCGGCATGTGTTTTTATTCCAAACAAAAATACATAGCGGTAAGTAGATGGGCGGGCATTGAGACTCTTATTTGTTTCCCGTTGACGTTTTACCTCAAAGTGTAGGTACATGAATTGAATAAGCAACAATTAACCGTGCATAAATATTGTCTCTGGGATAACGTTAAAAGCTTCATGGTGCGTCCCACTAAGTGGTTCATCTAATTATTTTATAAGAATACATAATAATGCTATGCGCGATTTATTTTTGTTGGGAAAAGTAGGAATACTGAAGCAAAAAATAGGGAAGGGGAACAGAAAAGAAAAGGAAACTTCTAAATACGTGAAAATCCTCCGAGAAACCTCTAATTACATCAAAACATCTAAAAAATCTCGAAATACGTCGAAATACATAAAAAAATTTCAAGAAACACTTTAAAATATAAGTACTTCGAAAAACTTTCCAATGAAATTGGTTCTTAGACATCCGAAAAGAAAAAAAAATCAAAGATCAAACAGAGCAGATTAATAAAAAACGTCTTAGTTTTCTTGACTGCATAACCTTTTTATTTATTTTTTTAGATGAAATTACAATTACAAATTTTCTTTTTAAAAATGTCTTAGTTTTCTTCATTGGATAACCTTGTGGCCTATCATCGGGATATTTAGAAGTATTCCGAAGTGTTTCCAGTTTCAAGAATTTTGAAGTTTTCCAGGTAATTCGACATATTTCGTGACTTTTGAGGAAGTGTTACTGACGAATTTCTAATGCTATATTGAAACATTTTGCTTTTTTTTTATGAATTTTGTATGTGGTCTGTCTATTTTATTGAATCTAAAGCTTCTCGATCGATTTTATTTCTGTATTCTTTCGATGTACTTAGAACTTCAACATAATTTATAGAAATTTTGGTGTTTTTTGAAAGATTTTAAAGCCAATTCGATCGATATATATGTGATAGATATTTTGTTACAAAATAAGTCAGCGCAAAAATGAATATAAAATGTAAATGATTGTGGTATTATATATGCGAAAACTGTTTATTTCGAAGAGTTTTATAAATTGTTTGTTAAAAAATGTTGATTTTTGTCGAGGTTATTTCACAAAGAAACCGCATGTTCGTCTGGTAAATATTGAAACATTAATCCCCTTGCCTGATGCCAAGACGGTATACAGAAATTTGCATTGCCCGCAAAAAAATTGTGAGCAAATAAGAATATGGTAAAATTGGAAAGTAGTAAAAGTCCTGATATGAGGATACTAACGGTACAAATATGCTAGAGCGCTGCTTCACGTGACGAGGAGTTATAAACGGTGGGGGGTAACAGTTATAGCCAATAACTTTGTGCGTTGCTTGGCACGTGGTTGGACGCTCCATCATTTTTATACACAAGACAAGAAGAAATTGTATTCATTATTTGAAATTAATATTGTAAACTATGCAATATTCCTATAATGGAAATAAGGTTTTCCAACATTTTCTCAATTTCTCGGGGCAAAATTATTAAAATAATAAACAAAAAATTTGTTTTCAGGGAGATACTTAGTCGAGATACTTTTTTCTATGTCGCATAATTTGAAAAGTATAGGATGTTCAAGATTTGTTAGCAGCGTAAAGGAAAATACCACATTTATACCATATCTATAAATGGAAAGTAAGTGCTGAAGCGAGTGAACAATAAATATAATAAATTTGTAGTGATTTTAATTTAATTTTCTATATGAGGTCAACGTTCATTACAAAATTTTTGGTTATTAATTTTCTACTCACGATTTAAGTGTTGGTTTTTTCCAGGTCAAGCAAAAGAAATAACATTTTAAAAATTTACCTCATGAGTCGATTCTACGGTTCTCTGTAAATTTATAATCCTATAAGCTACATTTAACCTATGAGTAACATATTTAAAGAATAGTAAATTATACAATTCAAAAACCATCCCGTGTGACGACCCTAGTTCGACGACATCTTCACTTCATTGAACGTTACGATTGACTTTAACCTTAAAAGTTACTTTGGTCACATACATTATACATTGTTTTTTATATATATATATAAAGTGAGATGAGACATATCAATTATAGATAGAGTATACGTTTCTTATATCTATTTATGTTTAGTAATTTTTATAGTACTGGTAAATGAACACTTCGAAAGAGATTGAAGGTATCAATAATATCCTTTCTCAGTATAGAATATGATATAGGTAAATCGTTAAAAACAAGAGAAATACGAGGGTCCCAAATTTGAACCTTGTGGAATCCTAGAAGTAACTTTAAATTTCGATAAACTGAAACCTTCATACGTAACAAACTGTTGTCTCCCTGTTAAGGACGATTTAAGAAGATGAACAAAATTATTCGATAGCCCAATACTATTGAGCTTAGCAAGTGATATGTAGTGATCAATCTGGTCAAATGCTCTGCTAAAATCCATATATAACACCACAGTTTGCTCCTGGTGATCAATGTTCTCACAAATATATTAAGAATATGAGTACAACGGTAATTTTTATAGAAATATGTTTACTCATCGAATATCTATGCTACGAAACTCAGGACCAGAAATGGACAAAAAAAAAAGGATATCCGTAGAATATCATGTGCTATGTGGGTTGAAACCACAGACCACCTAGACTGGCTTATAGAGCGACTTTGGTGAAAAGACTTTGGAGCCTGATTTGGAGCCCAGCGCTCAGTCGTGTCCTAGCATTTGACGTGTACGCATCGCTGTGATTTCGATAATTAGACGTTCTATCATAGGCAAGTGTATTGTAAAACATTGTAACGAGCGTTCAAATAAAAACGTGGTCGAAGTTGGCTCTGACACATTGGACGTAGGGAGTAGCTTATAGCGACCAACTTAACCTCATTTCTCAACGAGCTGTATAGCAGCTGTCAGTTTCAATAACGTTAATGACTATATAACTTTATTTTAAAGAATAATCGTGATAACAATAACAAACAATTAAAGGAGCTGCGGAAAGTGTCCCCCTCCTTGTTATAACAATAAATTAAAGCAGCTGCTGAAAGTGTCCCCCTCCTTGTTCCAAGCACTTTTCACACCTGTTCCTCAAAGAATTAAAGACATTTTCTAAGATGCTCGGGGTATTGTTAATTTCACG